TACTCCTGCCTAAGCCTTTCAAATGCTGAGATTATAGGTGTTATACACTATGTCCAGCTGTGAGAAAGTAATTTAGTAATAGGTTATCATCGTCTTCAGGAAATAAAATATTATGGCTCCACAGAGCTCATTTAGTACCAAAACAACAGAGAAATACCAGACCACGAAACATACTCAAAGAGATTCATGAAAAGCTTATTCCCTGGGCCTATACTTATGGGGGAGCTGGGGAATTTAGATTTGAATAAGTCCCTCTGAAGATAGGTGTAGGACAGAGAAGTGAGAAGAGGTCATGTATCAGAAGTCACAGCAAGGAGCTGGCTCCAGGAAGCATGTGGCCAAACATCAGTGCTTCCTTTGGGCAGCACATCCAAAATGTACTTCCTCCAGCATCTTGTGGCTTTCACCTTTCCTCCCACATGGCAGTGAGAATAGAATCTAGCATTTGGACTCAAAAACTCAGTCTGTTACTTGTTACAAGGCTACAGGCATTCCCTCCACGTAAACTTTTGACAGAAGCAGTTTCTACTTATTCTTTTCAGGTATGAGAGCAGGAAAGCCTTTCTCTTGCTGCATCATAGACTACCCAACATGTGTTAGCTGTCTGCAGCCACTACCATCTCCAGATAAGACTTGTACAATAATGAATGTAAAAGAAGGGAGCTGATACCTGCTTAGTTGGGCCCTTGAGACATTTAACTAGCTTAGCAAATTTAGAGGAACTGAACACATATATTTACTGTAATATTTTTAACCTTCAAGGAACATTCAAACCTAAGCAGTCTGTGTGATTGGGCAGCTACAGTTCTGACCACCTAAGGTAAGGACTTTCTTTTTCTTTCAGGGAAATATATAACCTCAAGTGATTGTTGAGAGAAGAAAAATAAAGCTCAAAGCCAAATTTAAGAAAATCCACTAATCCTTGTCTACTAACTTTTTTAACATATTATTGTCAGTTGCATTTCTTGGTTTCTGCTTTGTTTTGTTTTTTGAAATGAACAACAAACTGATTAGGACTGAAACATTGCAGCACAGCCCACAGATTAGTATCTCCTTCTGAGAGGAATCTCAAAACCTGTACTACAATCTGTGTATTGTGCTAGGATCTGAGAACAGATATTGGTACCTCTCACAGGGTCAGTGCCCAAAGTACCATATAAGAAGTGATGCTACACTTGTAGCATGTTTTCATAGCTTTGAACTGCTAAGAGAAAATGGCATCTAAAGAAACCCATGGAATCCAATGAAATATTAAAGTCTATGTGCTATGATATGAATAAATTATTTATAGAAAGTTGCTTCATTTTTGTTTTCGTGCTCTGAGTTCACTTTCTTTGTCCCATTCCCTTCACCCTGATACAGGACCCTGACAGTTGTAGGTCACTGTCTTTGTAGGTTTTGGCATGGTAGTAGATGTTTTTGGAAAATGGAACTTTGAGGCAACATCTGCAGATAAGGCTGTTGGAAATATCAATTTGATTCTCCCTCTATACAGCAAAGCTGACACTGAAGTGATATCAGCAGCTACCTGGAGGGGAGGCTAAATATATGCAGGGTTCAAGGTTGGGGTCACAGTTTCAAAGAATCTGGATTAAGCATATAAAGCCAAATCTCCTCAGACAGCACACATGTGTAAATAGAAGTGACACCTGGAAAATTCCACGTTAGGTTGTAAATTCCTTTATCAGCCCTACTGCTTCTTTACAGAGGGGAGGATGTTGTCAATATTCGGGAATATGTTGTTTGCAGTGAGTACCTCAGGTCAGGCATAACAGGCACTTCCAGGTGCTATCTAGAAAAAGAGGTCTGGGGCCGGGGAGATGGATCAATGGAATAAGTGCTTCCCTGGCAAGTGCAGGGGGCCTGAGTTCAATTCCAGGTTCTGCCAAAAAAAAAAAAAAAGAAAGAAAGAAACAAAGAAAGAGATTTCTTTCTTCGAATCCTTAAGGAACTTCTGTCCAGCAAAAATGCTCTCAAATTCTAGAAGAGTGAACATCTGGACTCAGGCAGAAAGTACAGGATTTTTTGTAATGATTACAACATACCATTTGTGTTCCTTTTTGCTTTTCAGAATTTCCCTCAAACAAACACTCATGTTTTTCTGTAGGACTTGTTCTCTTATATTTTAAGACATTCTAGAATCACAGTATAGCATTGTGTTTAACAATGGGTTTGCAATGTTAAAGGCTTTTTCTTAAAGCAACACATGAAACACAACATCCCATAATTTCAGACACTCCAGTATCCTTGTCTCTCTTGTTCATGGAGAGTGTTGGACTGGCCAAGTGATGGAAGGTAGAAAAGCTGGAGCTCTTCTAATTAAGCTTCTCTTTAGCCTTGAATTCTGCTCATCAGTGTACAAATAGAGCAAATGGAAAAAGAGAAATAGAATTGCTGTATTTAAGTCCTAGTTCTATGACAGTTAATTTTGTTAATTTTGTTTTGGTACTGGGAATTGAAATCAGGACTTCATACTTTCCGGGTACACACTGTACCACTAATCTATAACCCTAGCCACTGTGCTGGTTTGAAATTTTCTATTCAAAAGACATCTCTAAAAATAAAACTGGATATTTCAAATATCATTGAAACATTGTGCTGTAGTTACAAATTAAATAGATATGTGAGAATGTTTCTTTAAAAGAGTATTGCTTTAATCCTTCACGAAATACACTTGTTTAGATTTTCTGTCTTCAGTAGTATTTTCATGTAGTTATACCTTAGTGTTTAGTTGTTATGCTTATTTCAGTTAACCATTTAGATGAATTTTTTAAAAATAAGTTAAGAATCAGAATTTTCAAAATCAAGCGGCAAAGTCAATTA